AGAGGTTTAATGGACAAAGTTTAATAACTGATATTAGCCCTCAGTAATATGGTTGTGATTCATTCTACAATGAATACAATACAATCACAATTTTATTTTCTCCAGCTCACTTCTTAATACATTGGCAAACAGCCAAATGCCCACCCAGCCACTCCCCACCCTCAGCGTGACATGGGGAGAAAATAGCATAAGAATGTGGATTGAGATAAAGATTGCTTACCCGTTAGTATCACAGGCAAGACAGATTTGTCTCCAGGAAACTTAATTTACTGCTCTTTAAAATAAATTTGGGTAGATGAGAAACAAAAAAAAAAAGTTAAAACAACACTTTTCCTCCCCTCTCTGTAACTCCTTCCCACCAAAATCTTCTCCCTCACCCAAGACGCACAGGGGAAGATGCGATGTGTGTGGTCAGTGCATAGCAACTCCTCCCTCGTGCTTTTGCCCTTCCCTGGCATAAGTTCTCCACAGGCTGCAGTTCCATCAGGAAGTATTCACCATTAGAGCATTGGGTCTACCACAGGCTGCAGAGAATATCTACTCTGGTGGCTGGAATACTTCCTTCTTCTGCTCTGACTATCATTCTCTCTGCTGTTTCTCAGTCTTTTTATTCTCTCTTCCTCTCTCTGTCTAGTATTTTTTCCTTTAAACATGCTTGCCTAGAAATGCCATATGTCTGATCAGTTCAGCTGTGTCCTGTCCTTGGGCTGTTGCAGAATTATCTGGAAACAGTTGTGCCTGGCACAGGAAAGCCCCTAACCTCTTCTAACAGAGGCTGCCCCTTCATTCTCCACCATTACTAAATCCTTATCACAGAAATTGCATATGTTGTGATACCCAACAAGAGGGCAAAGCAGTCTAACTCTAACCAGGAGACTTCAGTAAGCATATCTATACCTCATGATCTCACGATCTAAGTAGCTCCCACCACTCCCCATCCCTTTCAAAGTATGGTTCGATTTGTGTTCTTTCCAACACTTCTATGATCTTTTCTCCCTCAGAGATCGAAGTGGATAAAAGAAGAAAAGCTGATTCTGTGAGATACATAAGCAGCAGGGTAGCTGGTGGGCAATTGCAGATGTAGAAAAACACAGATGCAGTAATGGCACATTTTCAATGATATGGGGCAAACACTGTATTGGATACTAGTATGAGATAGAAGAAAAACAGATATAAAGCTTGAGTGACAGGACTGCTCTGGAGTTAGTTTGTATTCTGGACTTCAGAGGGAAAAAGAGAAACATCATTAAATTAACAGCCTTATTTTAATGACTTTTCAAGTTCAAAGATCACCTTACTCCTTCATAAGAAAGTGTCAGCTTAGCACTTTATCAAATAGTCATTTCTTCTCTTTCCCCCCAACATTCTCATTATTGAAATATTTTCTAAATGATGTTTTAGTCATTAATTCTAAGTACTATTTGCAAAAGCATCTGATAACCCATGGGACTTTCAGCTAAGAGTCCATGATAAACAGTGGGCAGTGAATGCCAAGAAACACATCACACTGTAAACTGATTTGTGGGAATGAAATCCAGGAGCAACTGCTTCCATAAATGAATCTATCAATTTGAGATTTACCAATGAGTAATATGGGAGCCAATAATCTAAGATGACCTAATCACTCAGAAATTTCTATTCCAGACCCTTTGTGAGGAAAAACCCTTAGAGGTGCAGAAAACCCCACAAGACAAGAATCACAGAATCAAAGAATTACAGATTGTCAGGTATTGGAAGGGATCCTGAAATATCATCAAGTCCTATACCCCTGCTGGAGCAGGAACATCTAGATTAGGTCACCCAGGAATGTGTCCAGGTGGGTTTTGAATATCTCCAAAGGAGATCCCACAAACTCTCTGGGCAGCCTGTTCCAATGTTCTATCACCCTCACTGTAAAGAAGTTTTTTTCTCCTACTTTTGTGGAACTTCCTATGTTACAGCTTGCACCCAATGCCCCTTGTCCTATCACTGGATGTCACTGAGAAGAGCCTGGCTCCATCTTCCTGACACTCACCCTTCACATATTTATAAGCATTAATTATGTCACCCCTCAGTCTCCTCCAAGCTAGACACCTAGAGACCCAGCTCCCTCAGCCTTTCCTCATAAGGGAGATGCTTCACTCCCTTACTCATCTTTGTAGCTCTGTGCTGGACTCTCTCAAGCAGTTCCCTGTCCTTCTTGAACTGATGGACCCAGAACTGTACACAATATTCCAGATGCAGCCTCACCAGGGCAGAGTAGAGGGGGAGAAGAACCTCTCTCGACCTACTAACCACGCCCCTTGTAATACACCGGAGAATGCCAATGGCATTCTTGGCCATGAGAGTGCAGTGCTGGCTCATAGTCATTCTGCAGTCCACCAGGGCCCCCAGGTTCCATTCCCTTACGCTGCTCTCCAATAGGTCAGTCCCCAACCTATACACAAAATGCAAGACTCTACGCTTGCCCTTGTTATAATTCATTAAGTGTTTCCCCATCCAACTCAACACCCTGCCCAGGTCTTGCTGGATGGCAGCACAGACTTCTGGTGTGTCAGCCACTTCTCCCAGTTTTGTGTCATCAGCAAGCTTGCTGACAGTGCACTCTATTTCCTCATCCAAGTCATTGATAAATGTATTGAAGAGTACTGATCCCAGTACCAACTCTTGAGGGGTTCTCCAGGAAGAAAATAAAACAAAATTCCAACTTTCCCTTCTCTTCTGTATGCTGCCATTCTCCTCTCTGATTGTTTTGCAAAAGAAGAAATTCTACTTGGATAAAGTGAAAAGTGAAGCTGGCCCACACCATATCAGCTTGAGGGCTGACTTATCTTAGATGTCTTTTCACCATTCTGTTTAGCTGGAGAAATTTGCCATATAGTAAGAATCATCAGGCACTCTTAAGAAACTAATGAAAGAAAGAATATCTTAACTGATGGTAGGAAGCAGAGAAGTAGAAGGGCTTTCTATCTACTCTGAATGCTTCTTGCCAGATTCTTAGTACTAAATAAACAGGCAACAGTTGTTCCGGGAAGGACTCCATGGACTTCCATATGGTGAGGAAGAAGGCAGTGCCCACACTCTTCTACTAAAGAAGAGACTTTATTATGGAATTTGCTTCTCCTTCCTATCCCTAGTTCACTCCTTGGTCCTGATAAAAGGAGCTCTATGCAGGACATTCAGTAGAGGTCTGCTCTTAGACTACTGCTTTTGCTCTGTTATTTCACACAGAACACTATATAATCACATATCTAATCCTTTAGTTCTTAGGAAGAAGTGAGAATATACGAAGAGGAGAAGTACTGGGAAAGACACTTTATAAAGTATAAACAAGAGGACAAATTGAACCAGCTGAATGTTTTTTTTCTTTCTGACAGGACAGCAACATATTTTTAGCATAAGACTTCAGGTCCTCAAGAGTTTACAAAAAACGTGAGGAGAAAAATCATCTTCTAACATTAAGGATTACTAGTTGGTTGCTTTTTGTTTGTTTATTCTATGCTCAGGAAGCAATTAGTAGGAGTAGCGTTCTGAGTTTGAAAAACTGTAATACTTAATATATTTGACTATTCTCCTCTATGCCCAGCTCCTGGCAGTAGTGGGACTGCAGTGGAGTGTCTGTGTTTTGAAGCCTACAAAAGCCAGAATGTTTGAAAATCTTTAAGATTTTTTTTTAAATCCTCATTTTTCCTTGCCTATTCTAATTTCCATAGTGTTTGAGTGCTTACAACTACTACTTGATACTAAATATTTGACTGGTTTACCTGGATTTTGGATTAGTCGCAGTACTGATAAAGACAACAATGCTAGGGCTATTTAGAACCACTATATGACTGACTGAGTTTTCTCTTTTAAGAGCAATACTGTATGAATGTAGCTTTCAGGAGCAAGATAAAAAGAGACACACATTTTAATTGTTCTCAAAGAATAAACAAATAAGCAGTACTAACTTTAATTCCTTTCATAAATCTTCAGCACAATGAACTGTGTTTTAATAATGTTATGTTGCATAACCCCAACACTTCAAAAAAACAGAAAGTGAATAATATATTGACAACCATTAACAATCTATTGGATTTGAACTTTGTGTTAACCAGAATACTTGTACTCTCAATGTCCCAGTCAAACTCTTATTTGAATAAATTACAGTCCAACTAAAAAATCGTGTCTGAAAACAAGCTGAAAACAAGCTCCACATTAGATTTAATGTTTTAGAGTACTAATTGTGGTGTAGCAACATTATATATTGCTGAGATGCTGAGTAGATACATATCAAAACCAAGGAAGGATGAAAATGACATTATACATAATATATAAGCAAGATAAGCCACAGTTTGGTCTAATAGATTGACTTGAGATTGAAATGGGAAGACAGTCAACATATTAGACTGGGTAGTCAGGTTTTGGCCAAATACCATTACTTAGAGATAGCCAATTTATTCTACTTACTCTTAGAAACATTTTACACAATGTACCATCAGCCTCAGGGCAGAGTACATTAGAGATCTAATCATAAAACAGTTATCACTGTTCCTTACCAAGTCAGGCTCACAGATCTCTGATCCATTGTTGCATGATCAGGATGCTGCCACTTCCCCTTTCTTTTTTTAACCACTGGTTTCAACAGCACCAACAAAAGGGCCCAAGATAGTTAGGATGGTAGGTTATGTTAGATTTTGACCTCAGCTCTGCTCCATGTGACACCTCTACTGCAATATTGTTGCATATTCATAAAGAAGTGTAACCACATTAGAACCGTCTAGTTACAATTTCTCATTCTGGAAATATAGCCCAACAAATTCTCTCTGGTTGCAGTTTAAACTCGGCCTGAATGGAGTTTCCAACTGTGTTCCTGGTTCCAGGACACTGTCCCTGAGTCTGAGGAACTGGAATCACAAGGAGAAGAAGCTGCTAGTAATCATTCATTCTCTGTGAGACATGATTGTGAACTTCTGACAAACGTTATCACAGGGAAAGAATAAAAAAGTGTCTACATAAAGGGGGGGGAAATGGCATCTCACCTTGACAAGCTTGTTCGCTGTCAACAGACTGGTAACCAGCCTTGCAAGAGCATCGTCCAGTGGCCACCATCCACTCTCCTTCTCCATTGCAGTGCAACCGAACACCTGAAGACCCAGTTGTGCTTGCCTCTTCAGCATTTGCTACACATGTCCCTGGTGACTCCACCAGTGAGGTCTTTTCTCCTCCAGCAAAAGTTTCAGGGAAGGAGGCAAATCCTTTCACCACAGCTGGACACTTGTAGAAAAAGACCTGGACTGCCACCAAGGACATACAGGCTCCTGAGTCCTGGAAGGCCAGGTAGAAGCCATGCTTTGTGAGTGGCCCAAAGCTACGTACTTTAACGTTCATCCTTACCACCTTCCCAGTTCTGTCCACCTGGGAAAAGCTTTCATCAGCTGCAATAGTATCCACTTTGGTCCAGGGGCCTTCGTGCCACTCTGGCAGTTCCTGAGAGGCTATGTCGACATTTGACTGGTGGTAGTAGAGTGTGAAAGTCTCTTTGCAAGTAGAGGCCACAGTACGCATGCTGGCACAGTCTCTCACTGAGAAATGTAGGCGGACATGGACTCGGTGGGCTCCACGTCGCTCTATGAAGTGCGTACGCAACCAGTTATTTTGACCTGGTTCATCCATGTTACAAACTTGAAAGGTTCGGATCTGGCGCTCCTTATCATCCCGGACACTTACTTCTTCCCACTATAAAGAGAAAAAGAAGAAACGATATATAAAATTTAAAAAGGAATTCAGCGTTCAACTATGTCAGAAATACAGGACAGGCCTTCTCCCCTTTCTTTCTTCTTGCTGTGTTTATGGTAAGATTTGAACCTGCTGCTGTCATATGCAAAACAACACACTACGCAGGACTGAGTATGACCTGGTAAAGAAGAACTGTTAAACATTTAGGAAAAAATTGTCTTGAAACAAAACTCATGAAAAATTGTCATGTGGTGTTGAGAATCTTAAAGTCAGAGAGTCGCATCTTTCCCCACTACTTCCCTATCTCTACATACATGCATAACACAGACAAGACAGAGAAACGAGATCACTACGGAGAAAACATTAATGCATCAGTCTCTCCTACTCAACTCCATTAGTTGGTCTGAGCAGAAGGTTAGATAGAGACCTATTAAGTATTTTAGAAGCAGAGAGAAAGGCAATAGTATCATACCCAGTATCATCTTCTTTTAGTAATGTGGTTTGAACAAAATATGTTAAAGTTCTTCCTAAGTAAATGAAACCATAAAACAAGTCTTGTTTATTCTAGTCTCCCTTTCTTCATCAGCTACATGCACACCTTCCCAGCAGAGATAAAGTCATGAAAAGGGCAAAGGAAATGCTTACCCCATCGGGAGGGTGAGAGGTCCAGCCAATCTCTGAGGTTTCTCCAGTTGTATCCAGAAGTATTTCTGTTTATATTAAAAAACATTAAATAAAAAAGTATGTTGTGCTTTAGTCAGTCTAGCATCTTATCTGTCCCTCACAAATTGTCTTTAACAATTAAAATCAAAGAAGCCATCTCTTGTAGAGAGCTTCTACACACCCAGAATATACATTCATATTTTGAGATTAAATACAATAGCTTACATCTATATTAGGAAATTAAGCATGCCCAACACAGAAGCATGGGGCACATGATCATGCCTATACCATGGTTACTAGGTTGTTTGGAAATATTCTGGCCACACAAAATCTCTACCAGGTAAAGTGAAGCACAATCACATTATAGAATAGTTATTGTAATGAGCAGTACAGGGGAGAACACTCTCCTTTTCGAAAGGAAATAGCAGAGCAGAAAGGTTAATTACATGAACATATGCCAGGCTTTCCATAGGACCATGGTTGTGCATACATAAATATGGACACTAAGCCAAAACATGTTTGTTTCCAGCTCTGGAATAAAATTTCTGTGGTGGGAGTTTAGGATGATAACTGAATCTGTAATGTATTCACTTTGTTCTGGAATAGGGCATTAGGCCACAAGTCCAGCTTCATCAGAAGCTCAGTATTAAAAAGCCTCTTGCATTATTTGCTCTAGAGTAGAGTACATGCAAAATTTCACAGGCCTAACTTATTCCCTGAACTAGTCTGCATTTCCATTGAATATCAATCTACCACTGGAGACAGGTACTAGATTTCACTGTTCTTGGAGATGGTGTTCTCTGTTCAGGAACAAAGCAATACAGAACAGATTGTAACTGTGCAAGCTATATATTCAGTATTCTCCAGCAGTTTATATCAGGTCTGTAAATGCCCTGGAAAATACTGTTAGGCAAGCATGTGTAATTTTCTGTGTACACTTAAAGTGAGACATGGAAGAAAAAAAAATCAGTCAAATAGACATTGACATGTGTTGATATACACTGTACAAGTCAACTTTTTTTTTTCCCCTAAGTTCTGGAAAGTCACTCCCTTTTCCTTCACTTACTTAAATTTCAAATTTTCTGTCTTTCTATTTTGTGTAAAAGAAAAAACCCAGAAAATACTGGGAATGAGAAACAACTGCAACATCCAGTTTATTTACATATGGTATTTATTAATTATCTCATAAGTGTTTTTTAAGGACATGACTACCTCATCTTTTATTCAGACTTCTATTTTCAGATTATGGATTGCAAGTTTCACTATCTCTGATCCTTGGGATCTGATCCACATTAGCCACAGAATGGTTGGGGTTGGAAGAGACTTAAAAGTTCACAACAACTTCTCAGGGCAACCTGTTTCAGAGCCTCACAAATCTCATAGTGAATAATTCCATCCTAATATCTAATCTAAATCTACCCTCCTTTAGTTTAAAGCTATTACTCTTCAATTTATCACTACATTCCAGAATAATGTGTTTTTTCCCTGCCTTTCTTATTGGCCCCCTTTTAACTATTGTCAGCTCATTGGTTGAACTTACCAACCAATATCCCAAGTTCTTTTAATCAGAGTTGCCTTCAATCTATTCTCCATCCATCCTGTATTTGAGCTTGGGATTGCCCCAGCCCAGCTACACCACCTTGCACTCGGCCTTGTTGAACTTAATAAGGTTCACAGCTCAAGACTGTCAAGGTTCCTCTGGATGGTATCCGCCTTCCAGCACAACTACAACACACAGCCTGGTGTCATCAGTAAACTTGCTGAGGGTACACTCAATCCCACAGTCCATGTCACCAGCAAAAATGTTAAATAGCACTAATCCCAATATTGACCCCTGAGGAACACCACTAGTCGCAGGTCTGCACTGGAACATCAAGCTATTGATAGCAACCTTTTCAGTGTGACCATCCAGACAATTCCTTACTCACAAAGTGGTCCATCTTCCAAGCTCAATTAAATTTGTAGACAAAGATACTGTGTAGGACAATGGCAAGTGCTTTGCACAAGTCAAGGTAGATGGTGTCAGTTGCTTGTCCCTCATCCACCATCCATCAGTACTCTAATCTTGTTGGTCACCAAATTTGTCAAGCAATGGTGGTTGTTACCAATCACCTCTTTGTTTTCCATGTGCCTTAGTATAGTTTCCAGGAGGATCTGCTCCATGATCTTACCAGGAACAGAGGAGAAATCAGATGGCTTGTATCTCCCCACGCCTTGAATCTGCTTTCTTCCAGTGGGTGATTCTCACTTCTCCCAGTCCCTGCCTCTGTATTCAATGTGTTGGGAAATGTGGCTAGAGCACTTGCCAGTGAATGTTGAGGCAAAAAAGTCAACAAGTACTTCAGCCTTCTCCATATCTCAAATCATCAAGCCACCCATCTCCTTCAAAGAAAGGCTTACATGGGCCAGTAGACCAGGTTTCTCTCAAAGCAAGTCTCACAGTTCAAGCAGCTGAAGCCCAGACTGTAGCATCAATTCTGTAACCATCTGTTGATTCGCTAAATTCAGCTCCCTGTTTTAATATTCCTTTTCTCTGACCAGGAAGATTGATGAAAGAACTACCCACACTCCAGAGTCCCTTAACTGCAGCCCTTATGGCTGTGTAATCCTTCATGATATTCTTCAGACTGCTCCTGGCTGTATCACCAATGCCCACATGAAAAAACAGCAGTGGATAATAATGGGTGTATGACTTCTCAGTTACAATCCCAATACGAGCTTCCAGTAATAAAAAACACTTCTTTAGATAGTGCATCAAGTTGGTAAATGAGTGCCTCAATATCTCTGAAGAAAGTTGCCTACCACTATCACCTGTTGCCTTTTCTTAGTTGTACCTGTCAACCTAGGAGTGGACCAGACTGTACTAGTCACCTCCAGCATCTCTCCTGATACGAGATTTGAGAGTCTTTCCTCTTCAGGCTGCAGTGGTGAAGCAGATCTGCAATGGCACCTCAAGCCTCAGGGGAAGTATCTTCTTCCTGCTAGGCCCTGCTGTCCCAAGCTTCCATCCCTCCATGTTATTGGCCCCCCTGTCTGCTGTGTGCCAGTGGGGGAATTTTTGGTTGTTTGGCCATGAAATGTGGATCCACTGCAGAATGCATTTGGTACAGGCTATCTACCTCCTTCTTAGATTCCCTAATGTCTTGCAGCCTCCTCACCACCTCCTGGTGCCAGCACTTGTTTGCAGGATATTCTCTACTTTGGCACACCTTTTGCAGGTGTAATCAGCTACCTGGCTCAGGAGAAAGGTCTAGGTACTTTCTGCAATCTGAGGACTGCATTGCAATGAAGTAAACAGTGCAGATCTCCCACCCAGAGCTGCATTCTTTGCTCTCAGAAAAGTGCCCACCATTCTGCCTTGACTGTTAGATTGGATGAGAGCCCTTGAGCAGTGCAGATGCTTATGACAGTCCTAGCTGCTGGGTTATACATACTGTGAGTCTTCCCCCTTGGCTAATGGAATGGTCCTCCTTCAAAAAGGGAGAAATCAGCAGAAAGAATAGAGTAGAGCCATTCTAAGGAAAACATCAACAACTGTCTGTGTTTATCCAGACCTCAGCTTTCAGCAAGTCCTAGCACTTATGTTTCCTACATGAATTATTTCTTAGGATTTTCTGAGGAGCAACTGCAGTTCTCAGCTTCAAAAGCAGTGTAAAACATCCCAGCTGGCTTGCCAGAAACGGAAAGAGCTACTGCTTATTGCTAAGCCAGACCTCACTACAATTATCTAACAGACTTCATGAAATGCTGTGCACCTTATTACTCAAGCTAAGATAGCACATTTGAGGAGAAAATATCTGAGAAATGCCTATGCCTTCTTGAAGCATGGTCCCTGTCCAGGTTGTCCCAACAGGAGGACTTCACATTCCCCAATGAACACTACTGACTGAACTGCACAGACTGAGGGACTGCATGTCATGTCTTGTCAATCCTTCACCACTGGGTTCCCAGGCATGTCTTTGACATGCTGAAATAACATGAGGTCATTTTTAAACAAAGAATGATTATTTTTTTTCTAATCATTTCCGAGTGCATCTGTTTTACCAAAGTGTAATGCAACTATACTGTGGAAAATCTGGGAGAAAACAAAAGGAAAAAATATCAGTACAGGGAAAGATAGATAAAAAGTAAAAAAAAGTCAGGAAAAGAGAGAAAACTGAAAATACCTGCTCAGTAGCTTGGGTTCTGCCATGACTAGTGGAAAGCATATTTTCCAGATGGCTTCTCATTAGTAAGCAAGGTATGTTTTATCAAGCACATGAATATTCCACATACAGAGGCTGCCTGAAGCACATAACTGTACATCTCACAGTAAATATCGTTAGGAATCATTTAAAAAAAAAAAAAAGTGCACAAATGTCCCTTTGTGTTTCCTCTTCTCCTACTGGTTATATGCCTCAAATCAACTCCCCAGCTCCACTGGCTGCACATACTCATAAATCTAACAAGCTGTTTAATTCTGAGAACAACTGACACAGTACAGGTCATGTTTACATGGCTAAAAACCCTGCACTTACAGAACCATATGATTGTATGCAGTCTGTCTGCTAAGGTTTAGGAGATGATTAGGTGGCATGGGACAAGGCCATGACAAGGGACTGTTACAGTATTTTAACAGAATAGATAATTACATGCCAGTGTACAGGTGTAAGCTTTCACTGTGCCAGTTCATTAGTACTGATGTATTAGTCCATATTCTCAATGTGCCAAGCCAGATTAGTATTCTGCTGTGCTTCAGCACACTCAGCAATGATCTGTTCAGTTGAATTTATTGGTCTGGAAAGAAACAACAAAGAAACAAACAAAAACATGCAAGCAAACAAACAAAAAAAAAATTGGCTTGCACCATTTCTATCTCATTCAAAACCAAGGGTCTTGTAATCAGCAAATCACTCCCAGGACCAGGACAGTCCATGATACTAAGGACATTTAATTAGGTAACCTCAGAGCACCAAAGTAATGATATTCCACACTGGATTAAAATTGAGGAATAATCAGGATATCTGGGTAATCTGGAGTTTTTCACAAGATTTCACAAGAGGTGATG